GTGTGTATAATTCAATGACTTTATCAACTGCTTGAAAGCAAGGGGCAACAGAGAAGTCAGCTACTAGCCAATCTCAGACAACAGGAAATTTGATAATACACCTTGGTCAAATCCTTCATTTAACATACATTTATATAGAAACTTTCTGTGTCAGGCACCAACCTAGGTACCACAGATACAATAATAAAGAGAACTGACAAAACATCAGCCTTCATGGAGTTTATGTGCTAACAAATATGCATAAACAAATACATACGAAAATCCAGAAAGTGATTACTGCTGTGAAGATAAACAACACAGAGTAAGCAGACAGTGATATTAGGTAATTGCCTTAGGGTGGTCAGCAAAGTTCTTCCCAAGGAAGTGACATTTGAATGGAAAACTGAAAAACGTTAAGAGTTAACCATCAAATATCTGTGAGATCTTTAGGAGGAGCCAGGAAACAGCCAGTGCAAAAGCCCTGCGATGAGAAAGTGCTTGTTATGTTTGAAGAACAGCAGTAAGACACCATGGCTTCAGTGTAGTGGGGGAGGGAGAGGCAGATAGGAAATAATCATGAAGACTTACTTAGCCCATATCATGTAAATAGAGCTTTTGCAATCCTATAGACAAGCAGTATGTTTTGATTTTTCCCTAAGTCCACAAAATAGTCTGTGATAGAAAGCCATTGAAAGATTGAAAACAGGTTATTTGTAACCTCAGTTGCTGTTCATGAAGGCATAGAAAAGAATAATGTTTCCTTGCTCCATATCTATTGCTGAAACAGTTCTTCATGATATCTTTAGTGTGAGGACAAATTGCATTTTTCTGGTTATGATACAGAGGGGATATGCCATCCCAGGCATTGAGATTGGGAAATACCAACCATGAATGTGAGTGCTAAGTATTAAACCCAATTTTCTGATGACCACTAGGGTTCCAGGTATGAGCCTGTAAAGTGGGCTTTTTCTGAGAAGAGTGAAAGAAGGTAGGCAGAGATATACGAGCTAGTAAAGAGGACTGGGGCTTATAAGGTTTGGGGCCTAAAAAAGTCAGGATTCAGTGATCAATCTGCCAAATAAAGAGATTTGGACTCTCCTCTGAAACCAGGGAGTGGGTAGTGAATGTGTGGAGTCAGAAAGTAACTGCAAATTCTGGAGAAATTGTGGAAGCAGCATTTTGTGGGGGGGTGGGGGGGAACATCACCCTTAAATACCATTCCTACCTTCTAGTAAATCTATTACTTTAACTTTACCTCTGCCAGTCTATAAAAGTTCTTCATGTTTGGTACATTTTAATTGTTTCCAAAGCCCTTTCATGCATAGGATTTATTTGACTTTTACAACAACCTGGGAGATGGCTGGAACAAGTTAAGAAACTTCATATACAGAAAAGGGAGCTGGGGATCAAAGAAGCCAAGTTGTCTGTCCATGATCATTGTGCTGCCTCTCTTTTTAAGGGGTAAGGACAGGGTTTTAATATGTGTCTTTTCACCCCTGCACAATGCTCCATATATTAGAGTATGCCATTTTATGTGAACTGCAGAGATGTTCAAAATACATGGAATAAATGAAATTTTTAGGTGTTAAGAAAACCACTGCATGATAAGAAGTCCAAAAGGAAGAAACGAGGAGTCAAAGCTTTGATATCTGAAGAAATCAAAAGAAATGCAAACCAGTGCAGATCACAGACTGGAGGTGCCATATCCTTGCTTTAAATACCGGAAGGAAAATATATTCATTAGGTGGCTTCCTAAGGCCTTTTCTGTTCTTCAGAGTCTAGCTTGTAAACTTATGCTCTTTAATCTGGGTTAAGTTCAGTAATTCAATCGTGTTACTAGAATAATAAAAACTTCATGTGCAGAGGTTGCTCAAGAGTAAACATTTAACTTTCATACAGCTCAGGCTTTTTTTCACACACTGTTTGCTTACATCTCTAAGATACCTTTCCTGCAGGGAATTCTCACTTTTACTATCAGCAGGCATACAAGTACTGTAAGGTACTGGTTCATAGTTTAGTTTCCAAAATACCACCATTTATATCTTTATAGCTATGTTTATGTAATAATTTAAAAACTTTGTGATACTACTAAAATATAAAAGACAAATAAGAAAAAGTGTTGCTAGATGCTTATAATAATTTAAATAAAGGCTTAAATCATTTGGAGGGTTTAAAAAAGACAACCTTTGGGCCGGATTCAATACCTAACTACATGTTCAAGTACATTAAAGGAACATGTATAAATTATTCAGAATGTGATTCTGGAAATGTATAGTTAATGATTATGTCTAATGAGGTATAATATAGTGATGGAGGAGAAGATGAGCATATCCTAAAATTATAAATGAATAAGCAATATAAAATATGTCAATGATATGAATACAGATAATATTTTTCAAAACCTAAAGAGTTGTGAGCACAACCCAGACCTTTATTAAAAGAACACAGCTGTTTTCCAACTTTTGTTAACAAAGTTTAAAGGATATTGATAAAAATCTAAGCAAATTCAGCATCAAAATATTCCATTTAATTTGGTGTAAAATCATCAACATATCTTCTCATATACATCATTTCAAATACAGAGCTTAAATAAAAAAACATGAAATAGGATTATGTAAAATAATGGAAAAGTAATTTTAGTTTCTTTATTTTAACTTTATATAAATCAGGATTCTACCCAGCTCTTAACTCACAATGTCCACAGCACCTAGAAGAATACCTGATATACAGGAAAAATATTAGAAAACATTCATATGGTAGAAATTTTCTTAGAACTCCAAACAAGGATTAATAATCAAGAGATGATAACCAAACACTTCTATCACAATTAGTAATTTATTATGATTTCATGTGTAAGTCTATGCTTATGTATATTCACCTTTCAAACACAATTCCAAATTACATCAAGTAAGAAATTGCCTACACATAGTCTCAAATCACATGACCAGAGCTCATGTATTCCTAGATACATAAGCAGGAAAGTAAAGCATAGGAGTAAAACTGATTTTCAGTTCTGTGGTTAACTATAACCTTTACCAAAACACTTCTCTCTAGGCCTGCTTCTTCATCTGCAAAAGGTGATTCTCAATTCTGAAATACCAATAGAATGGGGGAGGCAGGGAAATGCAGTAGCAGAAAAGTGAAGAAAGGTCAAGACTTCTTTGGTCCCCTTTTCCTAACTTTCAAATCACCCCATCTTTGTCCTAAACTCAGAGTCACTGATATGGTTTGGCTGTGTCCCCTACCCAAATCTTACCCTGAATTGTAATAATCCCTATGTGTCAAGGGCAGGGTCAGGTGGAGATAATAATTGGGATGGTTTCCCCCATACTATTCAGATGGTAGTGAATAAGTCCCACGAGTTCCTACGGTTTTATAAATGGCAGTTCCCCTGCACAAGCTCTTATATACCACCCATGTAAGACGTGCCTTTGCTTTTCCCTTGCCTTCTGCTATGACTGTGAGGCTTCCCCAGCCATGTGGAACTGTGAGTCCATTAAAACTCTTCCTTTTATAAATTACCCAGTCTCAGGTATGTCTTCATTAGCAGCGTTTGAGAACAGACTAATACAGCCACTCCCTTGTCAGCACTCAACACTCTCAGCTGAGACTTCTACCTCACCTTTAGTTCATCATCAGTCTTATTTTTTCCCCCATTAAACAGTGAATCTAGTTTCTCAATTATTGTGTATTTGGCAGTTGATAGGGTCTCAAAAACATAGAAACAATGCAGAAGGGCCTGTGAGAGTGGGACGACCCATTCTGCTTGAGGTTAAAGTTCCGGTTGGGGTGGGCAGGAAGTAGAGGGGGGAAACAAAGCAACCCTTTGAGATGGAGTAGGGATCAATGTACCTTGGGTTACTTTTCCCTTTTTTTTCTTTCCCTTTTTTCCTTCTTTTTTTTGAGACAATGTCTTGCTCTTGCTCTTGCTCTTGGTCACTCAGTCTTGAGTGCAGTGGCATGATTTTGGCTCACTGTAGCCTCAACCTTCTGGGCTCAAGCAATCCTCCCACTTCAGCCTCCTGAGAAGCTGGGACCACAGATGACTGCCACCGTGCCCGAGGTCTCCCTATTTGCCTAGGCTAGTTTGAACTTCTGGGCTCAAGCAATACCGTTCAGCTGGGATGCTGACAGGCGTCACCCTAGATGGCCTGTAATATGGGTTAACTTTAATGGCAGCTAAATGTTAACACACTCTGTGCAAGGACTTTGCATCGTATTTCTCACAACACCCTAGGAGGTGGGTACTATTATCATTCTCCTTTAAATATGTGGAAACTGAAACTTAGAGAAACTTGCCTCACACTATCCAACTCTTAAGGGGCAGAGGTTGACTTTGGAACACAGTCCACAATAGATGACCTTCCCCTACCTGCAGAGGGCAGAGATCCTGCTGGGCGCCCAGGAAGCAGGCAGGGCCAGGAGAAAAGTTAATACCCCCGCTCCAGACGCTATGGGGAAGGGGCTGCTGGAACCTTGAGACTCCAGCTGTGCGCTGGCCTTACATAGGGAGGGGTTCCTTTAAGGGAGGGGGACTTACCCCCACGCGACAAAAAGTAACTCCCCAAGTGGGAGGGGGCTCTCTCCGAGTGGCGCGCAGGGTGGGCTTAGGGCCAAGCGGATCGATGAGGACCCGGCTAACTGGCGGAGGGAGCAACAGGATCCCCTGTGGGGATCGGTGGAGGATTCCGACTGGAGGGAGGCGGCAGCCGTGGGGAACCAGGATTTCTGGTCGTGGGTGGACCTGGTGGGAAGGGCCGTGCGAAGCCTGTTGAGAATGGAGCAGGCCGGCGAACAGGGCCGGGGGTCGGCGGGTCCCGAGGAGAGACCGGAGGCGGCCTGTTCCGAGGACTTGCGGGAGGCAGCGGGCCCGGAGGAGGGTGGGGAGGCGGCCGAGCGGCGACCTGCGGACGGCTGGAGCGGAGAGGAGGGGCCCGGCGTCGAGCCAGCCGGGCCGGGGGGCGGGGAGATGGCGGCCTCAGAGCGTGGGGCGCCGGCTGCTCCTGCGGTCTGGAGGCGGGGAAAGAGGCGGGGAAACCGGGAGGGAGCGAAGGAGAAAGGAAAGCTGCCGGAGGGCAGGAGTGGAAAGGACCCTGGCGAGCGCCGGGAGGAGCGGCGGCTGCGAGACTGGCTGCCGGGCAGGCACAGGGACAGGTACCTGGAGAAGTACTGGGAGGGCGCCCAGGAGCGCTACCGGGAGAGGGTGGTGAAGCGCAGGGCCAAGAGCGCGAAGCAGGTCGGGGAGGACCGGGTCGAGGGGAAGTACCCCCTGGAGAAGAAGCCCCACTGTCTGAGGCATCTAGGGACAGTGGAGACCGAGGAGGAGGAGGAGAAGAAGGCCTGTGGAAGGAAGACCAGCCACTTGGAAGTCCCGCAGCCTCAACTCCGGCGGCCCACAGTCAGATTCAGTATCTACCCAACATCTCCACGCGCGTCTCAGCGGTTCCTCCCCTGCTGCCTCTCGGGCAGCACTGCCATTAACGAGCTGGCGAAGATGGGGGACCCGAATCTCCTCGAAGTGTTGGCGGAGGAAGGTAGGACCACGCCAAAAGGCGTCAAGGGAGAGCCGGGCTGCCTGCCTGCACCCCGCCACTCGCGGCGCAGCGGCCCCAGGGGGACGTTGGCGGCCCTGCAGCCCGAGTCCTAGGGATGTTCACAGCGTGGCGTGCCCAGCGCGAGACCCGGACTGCGGGGCAGAGAGTCCCCCGCCTGGGGTGAGTGGGGTGGGCTTCGGCGCCCCACAGATTTCTCTGCTGCTCTTGCGCGCTAGGGACCTGCGACCTTTGACCCCCATGGTTCGGGAGCACCCTCCTGGCTCCCCTGCAGGCCGGGGAGCTGCAGAGTAATTCAGGGGCGCGAGGCTAGCGCTGCGGTGCTTGGGCCTCCGAACCCAGCCACTGGAAACGAAGGCTCTCCTAAACACAGCAGCAGTGTAGAGTGCCAGACAGCTGTCCCGCGTGTAAGGAGCTGGTCCTTGAGTCTTATTACCTCACTCTCTCTGCTCATTACTAATTATGCTTTGAGATGCTTGTTAATTACAGGAGTAGCAGATCCTAAGATCTATCAGTTTGAGATCTTGAGAGTCATAGGCACTTGGAAAAGCTGCTGCTGCTTTTACACAGCTTTCGTTAAGCCCTTTAATTCCTTTGACAAATATTTACCCGTTGTTTGCCAAAGCCTTTACACCGCGTATGTTCCGTGGGCCTATTTTAATACGCGCATTTTTCTTAAAATGCACATACTATTTTGCTGCTATCTCCAGGACCCCAGTTTCTTCAATGATGCTTTATTTTCATGCCGTGTTTAGTGTTGGATCTAAACATGGAAACAGCTTTCCAAAGTAACAAAAGATCCGATCATTATTACTCTTCAGTTTTCAAAGGCATAGAGAAATACCGTGTGTTATTGCATCCTCCTCGTTCCCTTTTTAAAACAGCTTTATTGAGATATAATATATACACTATAAAATTCACCTATTTGATGTGTTAATTTCGATGTTCCTTAATTACCTGCAGAGTTTTGTAACTATCACCAGAATCTAATTTTAGAACACTTTCATCACCCCAAATAGAAACCTTTTAGGCAGTCACTTCTCATCCTCCCCACTTCCCACCAGTAATCTCTTTATCATCTCTATGGATTTGCCTATTCAAGACCATTCATATAAATAGAATCATACAATTGTGGTCTGTTGTAACTGGCTTCATTCTCTTAGATTGCTTTTGAAGTTAATCCATACTGTAGCTTTTATCAGTGCATCATTCTTATTAATTGCCGAATACTATTCCATTGTGGAGCTATACCCTACCTTATCCATTCATCAGTTGGTAGGATTTGTGTTATTTCCACTTTTTTTGCTTCTATTAATAATGCTGCTATGAACATTAATGTATAAGTTTTCATATGGATATATGCTTTTATTTTCCTTGGGTATATATCTAGGAGTGGAATTGCTGGAATTTTTGTGGTAGCTTTATATTGAACATTTTAAGAAATTGCTGAACTGTTTTCCAGGCATATGCATTTTACCTTCCCATCAATAATGTGTAAGGGTTCCAATTTCTTTGCATGCTCACTAACACTTGTTATTGTCTGTCTTTTTCATTATTTAAAAAAAGCAACTTCTTCACCATCCTAGTGGTTGTAAAGTCGTAACTCAGTATGATTGTGATTATATTTCCCTAGTGATTAATGTGGCAAGTATTTTCTTATACTTATTGGGGCTCACGCGATACTCCCACCTCAGCCTCTGGAGTAACTGGGACAATGGGTGCTACACCACCATTGCCCCACAGGTTACTTTTTTTTTTTTTTTTAAATGAAGATGGATTTCATTCTGTTGCCCAAATTGGTCTTGAATTTCTTAGCTCAGGTGATCCGCCTGACTTGGCCTCCCAAAGTGCTGGGATTACAGGTGCGAGCCACCAAGTCCAGTCACACTATCCCCTTTTTTTTTTTTTTTTTTTTTGAGACGGGAGTTTCGTTCTTGTTACCCAGGCTGGAGTGCAATGGCGCGATCTGGGCTCACCGCAACCTCCGCCTCCTGGGTTCAGGCAATTCTCCTGCCTCAGCCTCCTGAGTAGCTGGGATTACAGGCACACGCCACCATGCCCAGCTAATTTTTTGTAGTTTTAGTAGAGACGGGGTTTCACCGTGTTGACCAGGATGGTCTTGATCTCTTGACCTCGTGATCCACCCACCTCAGCCTCCCAAAGTGCTGGGATTACAGGCGTGAGCCACCGTGCCCGGCCTCTCCCATTTTTTTAAAAAGGGTTTTGTAATCTATTTATGCTTCTCATGTGATCTAAGTTGTGCCTCTGATTAAGGTGGAGATGAGAGAAAAAGATATTGATGAGGAGTACCCTACATTTGATGGCTGAGCCTAATTAGTGCATTTTGCTCAAATTTGCATATCTTGGTATATTCAAAAATCCAAAACCCAGGCAGCAGAGAAGTATAGTATTGATGAGAGCAGGGCCTAAGGAGCAGCATAGTTCAGGCCACTCATATGACTCATATATTTTTAGATGTTTCTTAGCATGTCAGTCGTTTTGCTGGTTTAGTTTTACTGCCAAATATTGAGACCTGGATTCTTATTAGGTATCTTAACCCATTTTTTTTTTTTTTTTTTTTGCTACAAAAGAATACCACAGCCTGGGTAATTTATAAAGAAAATAAGTTTACTTGCCTTTTGGTTCTGGAGGCTAGAAGGTCCAAGAGCATGGTACTGGCATCTGACATGGACCTTTGTGCTGCTTCTTAACATGTTGGAAGTTCAAGGAAGTGCATGAGACCAAGAGATAAATGTGTCCAAACTTATTCTTTCATTAGTAACCTGATTCTGATGTAACTAACCCATTCCCATGAGAATGACATGAATCTTTTCATGAGGATCGAGCCCTCATGACTTAATCACGTCTTCAAGGCTCTACCTCCTAATACCATTACAATGACAACAATGACAGTTAAATTCCAACATGAGTTTTGGAGGGATATTCAAACCATAGCACTAGGGTGTATGAAAAGTGCATAGTTATGAGAGTGTTTCTTTTCCCCAATGGACATTCCTTTAGATTTTTAGAACTCTACTTCCAGATACATTTTCTCTTGGAGTTAAATGACACTTATGAAAACAAACGTGTTGGCTGAAGAAGGCTGAAAAATTGAGGTTCCAGAGCATCAATTTTTAGTAACTACTTCTGTTTCTATATTTTAAAATATAAGCAGACTTTTTACATTTACCCATATAGATAAGCCTGGATTTTGTATGTGCTTTCTAAATCACCTTTAAAGACTGAATGTGAGAGTTTGTAAGACTTACCGTAAGAAAGGCAATGTACCATTTTGCCTTTTAGGCATAATGGATAGTTACAAGATTTATTACATCTCTATTTTTTTCATAATTAAACACATAAGCAAATCAGTGATCTTCAGTTGGCTAATTTTCTAATATCTTCTAATTTTAAAAATGAAATTCTAATGGCAGAAGGTAATAGAACATTTAATTAGTTACATAAACACTGCAAGTAAAATGTCAATATGCCTGGAATTTAACTTTTTTTTTTTTTCTTTACAAGGTCTTACTCTGTTACCCAGGCTGGAGTGCAGTGGTGTAATCATAGCTCACCATAGCCTCGAGAAATGTTCATTCTTTAGCTGATTTATGATACAGTTAGTATAGCAAAGGCAGTTTGAGAGTTTAGCATTGGAAAAGCCCATTAAAAGTTGAATAAGTTGTTTGTATCTTTATAGCTACGTTAAGCATTGTGTTCAACTAAGCCACCTGTCCTTTAGTAATGTTAATATTTGATTTCAGATATTTTATTTTATACTGCTAGTAAGAGTGTAAACTGAGAAGACCAGTTGGTAAATACAAGTGCTATTTTTGGGCTGTGGATTTGCTGGAGTGTGTATTCTTAGTAATGTGCTTTCAGTGAAAACTCAAGACTCAGTCTTTCAGCTGGCTTTACTTTTGTCACATATTTGATAATTCTCCATATTATATTGTCATATATTTGATAATTCTCCAAATCTTTCATATGCCTGGATTATAGCCTGCAGGAAGAGTATAGTCATATTCATTCATTTTGGAGGAAGTTGAAGGAATAGCAATAAGCTGACAGAGTTGTTGGCTTCAGGTCCCACCTCTTCAGTCAGGCCTCTGTTTTGACAGACGTTTGGTGATTGTGCATAGTTATAGCATCTTTATACTCTGTGATGGAGTGTGAAAGTGTCTGAGTCTATGGCCTGTGTGAACATTTAATTGTGTGTGTGCATGCATGTGAGAGAGCTAGCAAGCAGTAAGTGCAGGGGTGAGAGGGCACATGGTGTGTCAGGAGATACATCTATTCTCTTGAATGTCCCAGTGTTTCAGAAAAGGATGCAGTTGACAAAATGTGTCCCTGTTGGTTCTCTGGAGCTTACAGTCTTGTGGAGGGATTGGGCTAGGTGTCCAGAGATGGCCGCATTCAAAGTGATATGGAGCAGGTGGAAGGCCAACCCAGGGGACAGTTGAGGACTTAGGCAAGGCCTGAAGGGAGGAGATCTAGGCTGATATAATGTGAAAAATAAGCAAGAGTTAGAAAGGGAAGAAAACAGGTGTTAGTTCTAGAGAAAGGAAGCTGTAATTTTAAAGATTAAAGTGTGAAAGCAGAACTAGTAACGATACAAGGTAATCTGGAGGATTCATCTTGTCCCTTTTCCATATTCTCAAATAAATGCATTGCATCAAATTTTAATAGCAGTTTGAAAATATTTTTTCTCCTAATTGTTTTATGTTAAATGGAGCAGAAATAATTAGAAAAAAAGAGGGCCTAGTGTTTGCAATTTTTCAACTGTCTTTTTGTAAAAATAGAATTGTAAAACTCTTTAAACCTAGCTTAAGGTTTGCGCTTGTTTGATTGTTCTGTGATTGTAACTATATTTTCTTTGATGCATCATTCTTTGGCATAATAGTGATGGTTTTTGTCCTTAAAAGAGAAAAGGCTCCCAAAATCAATGTCAACTATCACATCTTGAGACAAAGCTCTTACTT